CTTCCTCTTACTCCTTTTATTTCTTGTTTGTTTTTTTTTTTATGTATTTCTTTATATTTCTGTGTTTTATTTATAAAACTTTTTACTTTCTATAAGAAGATATTGTCAGATTGGTGATATCTTATTGTAGGGTGGTGGTTGAACAAGCTACTAGAGAATATTATCTTAATTGATTGTATTTCTTAAATTGTAATATAGGCAAATTAACTGTAACCTTTATGTATTCTATATAGTGTTTGAAAAAATTAAATCAAATCAGATTCAGATTTTGTACAAATTCTAACCATCAGATTAGTTTTGATCCAGAAAATTCAGATTGGGCCAGATTAAGTAGGATTGGGCCTAATTTTAGGTTATATCTTTATATAATCTCTATAAATGATAAAATCAAATTTGTTATATAATAAATTTGAATATATTACAATTTGTGTCACAATTTATATGATATATTTGAATTTATCACATATATCATGATACAATTTATGTGTCAAATTTTAGATAAACTGTAAATTGGTCCAAATCACTCTCAGATTCAATCTAAATTTTATATTCGATCCAAATTTTAGATTTGAATTAGATTTGGATTAATCCTGGATCAACTAGAATTTTTAATCCAATTTTGAATACTAATCCTGCATTATATTATTTTTTAATAATTTTATTAATAAAACTATATAAAATATTAAAATTCTCAAAATTCTATTAATTAATTCTAATTTTATATTCTAAATAAATTTATTTAATATTAAGAATTATATTATTTTGCGCGGATGCGTTTTGCGCACCCCATAAGATCTGGTGTAACGTAAAATCAAAACAAACTAATGACGCATTAATTTAGGGTAAGAGTTAGCACTAATTTATGGTTAGGTTAGATTTTAGGTAAATGCTAGTTATACCCAAAATTTTGCAAGAAATTTTTTTGTTAGAATGCAAAAAGTGGTTTCATAAGCAAAATTATGAGTTACAAGCGATTTTTTCAAAATATCATTATTTTTTTCTATTTCACGTTACACCTGTTCTTATGATCTGATTGGTCGATCAGGTGGGTGCGTTATAACACACATGCGCTAAATTATATAACTCTAATATTAATATATTTAATTTTATCTTTTATATAACATTAAAAAATATTTAATTTTAAATTTTTATAAAAAAATCTAAAATTAAATATCTTTTCTTCAAATTTATTTTTATATATTAAACAAGTTTACTTAAAATATAAAGTTAGAATTAATTAGTAAAATTTTAAATAACAATTTTTAATATTTTTATTAATAAAACTATATAAAATATCCTTATTGATATGTTACTTTAAACTTTTTCATAAAATACAGACTACAGATATTTTAATAAAAAAAAAACCCAACCAATAGAGTTATTCTATAAACTGTAAAAAAAAAAAAAAAAAAAAAATTATATAAAGTACAGTATTATGATTTTCAAAATTTTACTAATTGATTCTAGCTTATACTCTAAATAACTTGTTTAATACTCAAAATATATCTATATATATTCAGACTCAAACTAGTTTGCAAACTTCAAACCAAACCAGAACCAAACTTAAACCTGATTAAAAGTTTAAAATATCAAAGTTTTTGAGTTTTGTTTGAAAATCAAACCAGGCTTAACAAAAATTTGGTCGGTCTAGTCTGATAGAAACTCTAATATAATATTAAAATAATTAATCTTTAGATAATTATTTTAAAACAAATATCATAAGTATTAGAAAGAAAAATTCATATCAATACTACAAATAGGGTTAGATAGATTAGGTAGAAATATGCATTTGTGAATAAAATAGTTCTAAGCTGAAGTCTTACTAGTTATATACTATAGTTATCACATAATTTGTAATTATAATATACATAATAAAGACTTAGGCAAAAGATGCCACCCTTTAAAAAAAAAAAAAAGTCATATCAGATCTACTTAATCCCGCAATGCTAACATGTGATCAAATAGATATATAACTTATATACTATAACACATACTGCTTGGTCATCAAACGGATTTAACGATAAAAATATGTTAAGAATTAATCACAGAGGATTGGATTTGTCGGGGCCGAGTCTGACAAGATGAATCAATTTACAGATTTTCCTTTCCGTCACTCATCACTTTGCAATAAATAGTGAATTTTCTGATTTAAGGACGAAATTAACAATTTTAAAAAAATTTTTCGAGCTTAACTATCTAGAACATTTTTCACTTAAGAAACAATGCCGTTATCTTGATAAAAATTTGTAGTATAATTCTTTGAAGTTTTTTATTTTCTTATTTTTTATTATAGAATTTATAATATAAAAATCAATTTTCCGCAAAAAAATTTTTTTTTTTTACCAATTTCATCAAAAATTTCAAAAATTTCAAACTATAATAACTCAAAATTAACCAACTTTCGTATCTTAACAAAAAATATTCCTTGCAAATTTTACTATACAAGAACTACTATGCCCTAAATCTAACTCCAAACAGATCCGGTTACTGTTACAAACACATTTTTTTTAAACATCGAATTGTTAAAATTTAATAATAATAATTCATAATTATAATTGTCATTATTTATTAAATTTTCAGCTACTACGCAACGTTTGTAATGACATACATCAATGCATCAAACACAAAACTAATAAGAAAAAAAATTTTCTATTGATATCTAATGAGCCCGACGAGACTCAGCGATGATGTTGCTAAGTTCTTCAACCTTCTTTTTTGCACGAACAAAAGTTCCCAACTATCAAAAAAGGTATAAATTAGAAATAAGTAAATACTAAAAATAAATCGTTGAAGATTCAAAAAAAGATAAATGAATATAAAACAGAATACAAACTCTCTTTTTAGCCAATTTTCTTGCGCGCTTATCTTTTGAATTTTTCAACAATTCCATTACACGTTTTTCATAAGGAGCGTAACCAGCAACTTCCCGAACTACATCGCGGATAAATTTTGTTCTACGTGCAACGACCTGTTTAAAATAAAGAAATAATGAATCGAACCGCCAAGTATATTATTTAATAAAGATCTTGTTCCTGAAAGACATACCCCCTTTTTTCGAGAAGGCTTTGGTCGCGGTTCCCGTGGTGTTACTTTATGACCTTTATTTAAGCCTACGGCAATGCCAGACTTTTGTTTTGGCACCATTTTATTTTAATATTGAGAAAGATTAATGTTAAAAGTAGATTTTTTTTTTTTTTTTTTTTGATGACAATTTGGATTTGGCCAGTATTAAGAAATTTAGACCCAAAATTTGCCAAGATGGCAATCACCGCACTAAAAATTTCGCTGGCCAATCAAATTTCAGGATCATGAAAAACGTTCGTAACTTAAGATGGAACTGCCTCTGCTCACTAACAGAAAGTTTTTTTCCTAAATTTTGGAAATTACAGTCAAACCTCTCTACAGTTACGCCCTCGGTTCCAAGAAATTCTGTGCTTATAAGAAATTGTGCCTGTATAGAGGTCAAATTTTTCATGTTTATATAACGATAAGTATGTTCTAAAAAGTGACTATATGGAGAGTGACTGTATGGAGGGCAGACTGTATAACAAATAGCACTTCATAGTCAAAATACTCTAATTTCATAAGTTCGTATCGGAATAAACTTAATCAAAATATAATATATTCTGTATCTGTACGTACGTTGTAGATGCAGACATTTGAAGACGTCCAATTGACGTGTTGTCACGTCAAAAGTGTCATAACGATGTAGGTCATGATAACAGACTTTTGCCGTAACAGGTAACTTTGATTCAGTAGTTACGGCAATACGTATAAAAAGTTGTAAGTTATGGCATTACAGAAGTATGAAAAGTTACGCAATAGGAAAAGTTATAGCGATACTTTCTTGTTATCTGGCATGATCTGACGAATACACAGTTATTGGCAGGATGATAACAAAAGCACGTGGCCGAAGGCCACGTGCGTTGTTATTATTCTGTTAATCTGTATTCGTCACCATCATGCAGTTTATTCGGCAGGTATGACGTATACACTTACGGAAAAAATTGATATTATGCCGCAAGTTTTATATTAAAATGATTTTAATATTAACCTGCGGCAATAATGTGAAATTTTTTCCGTCAGTGTTTACATAGTACCTGCCGAATAAAAAAATTTATTATGAATTTATATATGTATTCGTAAATTTAGTGGATAATTAAATTCAGAGAAATTTATCGCGAAAATAAAAATTATTAAATTTATGTATTTACAATAAGCATTCAAGTTCGTGGAATTTATCTTTACATACCAGTAATATCTCTCAGTGAGATTTATACCTCTTTTTGCGTACCCCCACTCAAAATACCCGGATATTTTATATCGATATATAGCAGATTTTTTTTAACCGAGGATAATACCCGGGTACTTTGCACGGCATTTTTCATATTACCCATATTGATTCTTCACTGCGTATAAGACCGTACAAAAGTACCCTCCATACAAGATACCCGTCACCGATCAGGATACCCACGGGTACTTTCTAAGTTTTTTTTTGGTTAGTGTATTGGATCCCGGGTACTTTGGCCAGTGCACTACGGTAGTTGCGGATATTATAGTTTATTGATACATGTGACTGGTTGTACTCTAGTGAGCTCCTGGAGGCACAGTATTTAATAGAAAAAAAAAAATCAAAAATTAAAAAGATAATCTTGATATTTACGAATATATTTTATATAAGGATGTAAATTATGAATAAATTCTTTGAGTTATTGAGGTTTAGGATTTGGGCGTGGACAAACACAAACTATAGTAAACAACTAGGCAAGTATATACGCGCGTTTAGATAGCAAATTTAATACGAATTACTAGTCTTCAGTAACTTGTTTGAAAAGTAAACCAAATTGAATCATAACCAAATCTGCTGGAACTTTTTAGCATACGAAGATAATCAATATATTGAATAGAGCTTGTACGCTTTAAAATTCACCCACTTTACTATATATATACGTTAATAAAAATAAATATACATGCGATCAAATATATAAAAATTTATGAAATTAGTCAATGTCAATAACTAGCTTAGTAGCACTGACTCCGCCTTTCAATTTTTCCAATGCTGGAAGAATACCATCAAGTCCACCCGGCATACTAGTAACATTAACTGGTCTAATTCTACCGTCATGCAACATAGTTTCAACCTCTTTTAAAACTCTATTAGTACTTTTAAGGTAACCTTTAGGTTCTCTATGTGCAAGACCGAGGGTCACTTTTGTAACTTCGATATCGTCTCTTGTCTCTTTAGACGGTTCACTTACACATGCCATCTTACCATTTGAACTTAATGCTTTTATACCTAAAGAAACAGTAGTTGTACTACCAACAGTATCAAAGGCATATTTCAATCGACCTTCACTAGCATTTTTGATTTGATCAATTACGTCAGGAGCATTGTAATCAAAAGTGTAAGCAGCGCCTAATTCTTTAAGATACTGATGGTTTTTCGGTGATGCAGTTGTTATAACTAAGAGTCCTAAATGTGCAGCAAGTTGAATGGCATAGGAGCCGACGGAAGAAGAGCCACCCCAAATCTATAATAATTAAAGTTAAGAATTTCATTTTATAAAAAAAAATAACTAAGAATAAATCTTGACATTACCAAGATATATTCTTCACGGAACCAACTGTGGTTTTCAGAAGGAAGTGGCAAGTTCAATGATTCAAATAAGCCAAGTCCCGCTGTAAGAGTACAAACGGGAATAGTTGCGGCTTCTCTAAAAGTAAAGTGTGGTGGTTTCTATAAAGGATAATATATTATTTCATTATTACATATAAATGATAATAAAATGATTCAATATTGACCTTGTAAGTAGTTGATGCTTCAAGTAAAGTATACTCAGAAAATGCGCCATAATGACCAGGAACTCCCAGCTTGGTATATCCACAAACTTCATCACCTGGGGAAAACTCAGTAACACCTTCACCAACAGCTTCTACAACACCAGCAACATCACTACCAAGAATCGCAGGATACCCATCAACAAAAAATTCCACTTTCTACTTGATAACTATCAAAAAATGAGATTTCAATCATTGATGATAATGTATGGCAGATTTAATCATTTATGATAATATATGGTAGATTTAATCATTGTTTAAATAAAGAATTACACACATATCGACAGGATTCAAAGCAATAGCTTTGATCTTGACAAGTAATTCGCCTC